CAACAATGATCTTGAAAAATTTAGAATCATGAATCCATTTCTTGTTGCCTCAGATCGCCTTAAGGAGCTCCCTTAAAGAGATTTACGGGTGTAATGGTTAAAGGCATTTGGCTGTTAACAAAAAGGTCAGTGGTTCGAGCCCACCAGCCGCTGCTTGAAAGTAAGATGGGGCAGTCGGCTTCTGTAAAAATTTACTTTGGGGTCGCTATGAGCCTGAACCCACTTGATGGCAGTGAGTTTGGACGTTTTTTTAGTTTTCAAATCTCTTTGAGAAGCTTTTCAATCCTTAACTCTGACCCTTGTGGCTGCACTCAGGAAGAGTGTGGTTGAAAGTAGATTTTACAAAGAACTAGGGAATTTGTCTGAGTGTGTCCTTTTCTAATTTAAATTAAGGTTGGGGTCCTGGTATTGTTTGGTAGCCACCTTGTGGGTATGACTTGGACTGCATGGTCAGGATCATATCTGGACCACCACCTAGCCAGAACCAATTTGGTAACACATTTTAATCTTCAATTATGTATGTATCCTAACTGCGTCTTTCCCGAGTTCTGTAGTGCCGCCTACAACAGTGATGAATCGATCTGCCCCCAGTCTTGATTTTGTGATGATTCCCTTTGTTTTCAATCATGTATAATTAGTCCCATGGCCATGACTCAGAGGATTCCGTTTACCTATGTATATGCTGTGTATGTGCTGATGTGGTTTCCCTGATCCTGGAGGACTGTCTTTGTTTTGTCTTTGTCCTGTCTAAGGCTTAATAAAAGGGTCTCTATTGAACCTGTTGGAATCTTGAGTCTCTTTTCCCCTGTACAAAGTGGAAAACAATGGAAAATAAGGTTCCTATGTAATTTCACATATCCCACCCCACCTTGCTATGAACTACAATTGTGTTTACTGTATACTGTATATATTGATATATTGAGCTTACCATGCCAATGATACACATCTACCTCACTCTCTTTGGCGACTGAACATTACGCCTCCGTGTTGACTAATGATGTTCAGTAGTCCAGTTAACCAGTCCTCTGTTGACGAACAGGCTGAATGTTTCCAGCTCTTCCTACGCTAAAAATTGTTGCAGTGAACATCACTGTGAACATGAATTTGCAAGAAGCCAAAGAGTATGAACAGTATGATCCCATTTTTATCTATAAAAGCAATTACATATGCATATAGAGTTTGAGGGCTCTATACAACATTGAGTGTTAACAATTTTAAGGACACAAATAGTAAACACTCTTAAAAATAAGGGAAGAGGCTCCTCTCTCCTGTTGTTTCACAATTCACTTTAACTTGTCATTGTAAATTCTTTCTTTGTCTCTTTGCAAAGTATGTAAATCAAGGGTATTTCCCAAGCAGGACCTGGAAGCCACTTCTTTTCAAATGTAAACAGGGAAATTCACACTTCTACCTCCCAGTTTCTTAGAATAAAATTAGCATAACTTCAGGTGGTGGTTGTTATCTGCAGTGAGTTCTTTCCTGCTTTTAAACCACCAACCCCAAACCCTTTGTCTTGGAGTAGATTCCAACTCCTAGCAACCCTATAGGACAGAGTAGAACTGCCCCTAAGGTATCCAAGGCTGTAATTTTGAGGGAAGCAGACTGCCTGTCTTTCTGCAGCTGAGCAGCTGGTGACTTTCAATCCCCAACCTCTCAGTAACCCTGCCCCCAGGGCACCTATAGCTTCAGATACCCTGCCCTAAAGGTACAAGAAGATTAGCAATTTGATCTTAAACATGAATGTATGGGTTGTATCCATTTAGCTGGACAGACTGTCAGATTCCTTCCTGTTTTTGCTGCAATCTCTTTAGGGAAATGCCTGTGTTGCATCACATTCTGGTTTAATGCTTGTTCAATAATAAAATGTTTCTTTCTCTTCTATTTTTGCGGATAGGTTTTCTGGGTTGAAAGTAGATCGCTTTTTCCTAACACAATCTTATTTTCTTGCCAATATGATAGGCAATGATTACGTCTCATTCTTCTAACTTGCATTCATTTCATTATCAGTGCAGTTGGGCAGCTTCCCCAAAGCTCCTAATTTTTCAGTATTGTTTTTCTGATTGTTCAAACATTTCAACATTGTTGTTGTTGTTGTTTGCCGTCGAGTCGGCCCCGACTCATAGTTTATGAGCATACGTATATTATGAGAAAAGTAAATTGTTTAGAATCACAATCCCCAAGAAAAACTGTTAACAAATTGGTATACGTTTTTATCAGTTATTTGCACACACACACACACACACATATACATATAAGAAGTCTAGAGGCAGTGAGAGCATGCAAGTAGAAGGGTAAGCCATCAAAAGACTAGTGTCTCCTCTCCCCACCCCACTTCCTGTCCCCTATCAGCCCTACCCCCACCTCAGTGTGTCTACCACTTTTCTCATTTTTATATTAAAATTTTTGCCTCAGGCTGACTGAACAGCACAAGCAGTCTAAAATTGATGAGATCTTAACCATAGTATCCCTAAGAGAAACAGTAGACAGAAAGGATGCATTTAGCAAAGGAAATGTCTTCTTCACACCCACACACCAAATATAAGTAGTAGTGATAGGTCATCCATTTCTGTCTTTGGCAAGTTATACAAGTCTTCTTCCTACTCCTCTTTCTCACAATAGGTGCATTGCATATGCCTTAAATCCTCTATCTATCTGAACCACCCCACTCAAATACACATGGAGCTCTGATGGCAGAATGGCTAAGTGCTTGGCTTGGCTGCTAACTGAAACCTTGGCAGTTTGAATCTACTCAGTGGCTTGGAGGGAGAAAGACCTGGCAACCTGCTCCCCTAGAAATTATAACCTAGGAAACCCAATGAGGCAGTTCGACTCTGTCACATGGAGTCATTATGAGTTGGAATCTTACTCCAAGGCATTCATCAATAACAATTACATATATATATATATTTATATAAACACAGAGAGAGATTACTGCTGTATATGGAGCCCTGGTGGTACAATTGTTAAGCTCTTGACTGCCAATCAGAAGGTCTGTGGTTTGAACCCAACCAGCTGCTCCACCAGAGAAAGATGTCTCAGTCTGCTTCCATAAAGATTTATAGCTTTGGAAGCCCTATGGGGCATTTCTACTCCATTCTATAAGATTGTGTGGTAGTTAAGGTTGTGTGTCAACTTGGCTGGGCCTGGTTGAGTGGCTGGGCAGCTGGTGGTAGTCATTCCCCATGATGAGACTGGCAATCAGCTCCATGGTGGGATCTCCCACCAAGCAGCTGAGTAGCTGCTTTAAGGACGTGGTCTCCTTCCCGTATATAAGAAAGAGCTTTGGGAATGGTCTCTGGTTTATAGCATGCTTGAACCCTGCACATAGCTGAGTCATTGTTCAGCAGCCTGCGGTTCTCTGCTGATCTTGGGACTTTCAATCGACTTGAATCAATGGCCTGTCATGTGGTTTGGTAACATTGGGACTGTGCCTTTTTACTTGTCAACCTTGGGCTTGGCAGCCTCAGCAGCCAACAGCTGTCTGAGTGAAGAAAAGCCTCCAGCTCCAGTTGGCTGGGAGCAGGAGTCAGAGCTGAAGCCCAAGGTTGAGGGACTTTCACCCAGCCCCTAGAGCCTGGCACTTTGAACTTGGACTTAAAGCCTCCAAACTGTAAGAGAATAAACTCCTGTTTGTTCAAGCCATCCCATTGGTGGTATATTCTTGTCAGAGCGGCACCAGGGAACCAGAACAGGTTGCTATGAGTTAGAGTCGACTCAACAGCAATGTTGTTTTTTTTTTTTTTTGTTGTTGTTGTTGTTTGATATACTTGATCAAGAGGTAATAGATTAAAATTCAATCCCATCACTTTTGCACTCAGTGTAGGAGTTTAGCTCCTGGAGAAAATGGACAACATTTCTCTAAGAAATTGAGTGATATGGCTGAGAGGGCTAGGGAGTTTTTGCCTATAGTTGAGTGTAAAATAGACCATAAATGTTGCCCCTCCCAGAATCCACACCTTTGCATTGATGTTGCAGATCCTCTAAACAACAGGTGATCTGGTTTTTTTTTTTGTTTTTGTTTTTTTTATCTCTTGAATCTGCCATATGATTTCTTTTGGTCAATGAGGCATTGGCAAAAATGGTGTAAACAGAGGCTTGAGTGTACTGTGTTTGTGTGCTGGGGCCTGCACTCTTGCTAGTCTTGGAAACATGATGCCACCATGTGAACAAACCAGGCTGGGCTGGTGGATGAGGAGAGTTAGCAAAAGATGTGCCCCACATCCTCCGGGTTGCCTATGGGCATTTTCTAGAATCTTACTCCCTGGCAAAGCTGTCTCTCATGTTCACTCTGGCCATGTCTCCACTGTATGAAAACTCATGTCAGCAGATAAGGGGGAGAGGAAAGAAAGAGTGTGCATGGTGGCTTGCCCCAGGCCCTGCCCTCCTTGAAATAGGCCTTGGACCTCATATTCCAACAGAGATCACCATGTCCATCTGGGCCTGCCAGGGTCTGTCTGCTCTGTCCTGTGGGTTCCAGTCTAGAGTGATATCCCACTGAAGTCTCCTGGTCTACCACCAATAGCTGTTGCTGTTAGGAGCCATCGAGTTAGTGTCAGCTCATAGCAACCCTGTGTCCAACAGAATGAAACACTGTCCATTTCTGTGCCATCCTCACAATCGTTGCTATGTTTGAGCCCATTGTTGTAGCCACTGTGTCAATCCATCCTTGAGAGGGTCTTCTTCCTCTTTTTTGCTGACCCTTTACTCTCTCAAGCATGATGACCTCCAGGGTCTGGCCCCTCCTGAGAACATGTCCAAAGTAAGTGAGACAAGTCAATAGAGTATATTCAACATTTAATAGAACAGCTATGTATGCACAAATATTCTAGATGCTTTTGCAGAAGCGGCATCAAGAGGACATGACTCAAATGAAGAGAGGAGAAACTAATACAATGGATGCATTAACAAGGATTGTGGCCCAGTTTTCATTCCTGATACAATTACTTTCCTTGGTGTTACTATTAGTAAAAAAATTATATTCTGACAAGGTTAGTTTTATAGAGTTTACTTATTTATGTGGTTAAAGATCCATGGATGGAAGCGTATCTCCCAGCAAAAACTAGGAAGTAGTTCTCGCTACAAAAGCAAGCAAGAGGTAGGCAGAGAGAAAGAAGGAAACAGAACAGAACACAGCATTTTTTCGTGTACTTTGAGGTTGCATAGGGTCATAAATGGTATCATGAAGTATATCGTGACTTGATAACAGTCATGCAAACGGCGAAGCTTACAAAGCAATTAAACTTATCAGAAGAAATAGAGGATATCTTGAATGTCAACTGGAAACGTTTGAGTACATACATAGATTAAAGTTGTGTGTCAGCAGAAATATTTTTGGTACACAGGCAGACCTTGTTTTATTGCATTTTGATTTCTTGCACTTTGTAGATACTGCATTTTTTACAGATTGACGGTTTGTGGCAACTCTGCCTGGAGCAAGTCTATCAAGGCCATTTTCCCAACAGCTGGTGCTCAGTTTGTGTCTTTGTGTCACATGTTGGTCATTCTCACAATATTTCAAACGTTTCCATTACATAGTTGCACATTTACTAGACCATAGTATATATAATGTAACATAACTTTACTATGCGCTGGGAAACCCAAAAATTGGTGTAACTCGCTTTATTGCAGTGGTCTGGAACTGAACCTGCAGTATCTCTGAGGTATGCCTGTAGTAAGAAAGTCAAAGGAGACAGGGGTTTTTGTGTGTGAGTCCCCTGTGTGAATTTGTCTAAGCCCTAGTTCCAGCAAATCTGGAAAAGGAAGAAAAGATTTAATATGATGAAGTTGTTTTGCAGGAAATTTAGGAAAATATATCATTGTAAAGAAGTATGTTGTCCTCAACCAGTATTTCCGGACCCGATGCATTTGAGAATGACAGACACAGTTCTAAACAATCAACGTCGAAAGCACAACCTAGAAGGTGATCTTAGTCCTCTGGAACTCACCTGTCTCCTGACCCCCGAGGAATTCAGACG